GTAAGGAAGGCGACGCGCGAGCAGTGCTCTATTCAAAACGAGAACCCAACGCAGGAGGGTTGGGAATTGCGGTACTCACAACTGCATATGGGTGTGTCCTTCGCCAGGCTAATGTTTCTGAGGCAGTTTCAGGCGGGAACTCCTTCCTTATTGGGCCTGCACTTTATGTCTTTAATCCGAGCGGGTCATCCTCATCCTTGTCACCGTCGTCGCGCTGGGGTTCCCGAGGCCTGTAAGAAGAAGTCTCAGGCGGGGAGCCTCGTCTGTGAGTGAACTGTGAGGAAGTCTCAGGCGGGAGACCCTTTTCTATGCGCTCTTCAGACGGCGATTCGCCCGACCCATCAGGTGAGGAACAGGAGGTGAGGACGACGGCGGCCGGGCGCAGGGGGAAACCCTTGCGTCCGGGCCCGGGGTGGTAACCGCCTGAACGCGGCCGTGACTAGCTCGGTGCTTGCGGGGTTGTCCGAACGGCTTGCTCCCGCGCCCCAGCGGCTCGCGCGGTTGCCCCAACGGCCTGGCTCGCGGGGTTGTCCCGACGGCCGCGCGACGCGGCCATTCGAGAATGCGCCTGCGCTGGCCGAGGCGGCGACGGCGTCGAGGAAAATCGACGCGCGCGCTCTTGCAATAAACAGAAGAGGAAATGGTGGGCCACGAAACATTCAGCAGGAAAACGAGGCAAGGCAACGCGGGGAGCGGGTGAGGGCAGCGCGCCAGGGCGATAATGATAATGACGCAGAGAAGACAATAAGGGCGCCCCACTAGTCGCGAGGCCGACAGTGAAGGTTATTTCCAGATTCGCCGTCCAGATTTTCATGCGGGGTCTTTCTGTCGGAGTAATGTTTTTTTGCCCTTCTAGCTTAAGTGCGGTCCCGTCCCAAAGGGTTATGTCGGATAAAGAACGCTATAGACACATGTTTTTGGCGCTGCGTGCGGATTTCTTGGATCCGCGCTGATCCCCCCTTGCGGCGCCTCTGGCGCCCCCCTGGCGCGTTCCGCGCGCCCGGGAGAGGGGGTCCAGCGCAGATCCAAAAAATCCGCGCGGAGCGCCAAATGTTTAGGTTCGTCGCGTTTTTCGTTTCTTCCTCCTATGGGGCTCGTGTTGTGGGGTGGGTGGGAGAAGCGCGTCGGTGCACGGTCAGCTCCCCGGCCCCGTCGTCCCCGAAATCGTGCCCGACCTGCGGCGCGGGCCGTGGCTGGCCGCCCGCCGCCGGCGCCAGGCCGAGCGACGGACACCCTCTTCACCTGACGATTGAGCAGCACTGACCCATGGCCCCAGATCTCCTCGCGTCGCGAACAAATCACGGCGCCCTGAAATCCTGGCGTCTCCATGCTTTCGCGCCGGATGTTTTCGTTTTTTCTCGGGCCTTGGGACCCTCACAGATCGACCCGCTTCGAAAAATGACGCAGAAAGATTGGGTCTAGGGTTTTTGGCGCGATTTTTTACGGCGTTTCAATTTTTTTGAGATGTCGGTGGCGGGAGGTTTTTCGTTGTTCTCGGCCTCGGAGGCCCCTTACCGGGCCTGGGGCAGTCAAAGAACGACTCAGGATGAAAAACCGATCCCGGGGACCGGGTCCAGACCTTCGGGTGTCGACGTTGCGAAAAAATCACGGCGTCGGGTGTCTGGGACAGTCGGACTGAGGTACAAGATCGAGGTCATTTCGGGGATGCCACCATGATTACCTAACAGCGAAGACTGATAGGTTTCTAGTTCGGTCAAAAGAGCATCATGACTCCCCAGGGGAGTCTGGGCGGGATCCGGACGGGTGCCGGGGACTCCTTTTTTAGCAAACAGTAACGCACTTCGTGGTCTTCGAGTTCCCAGAACTCCATTCCTGGGCATGATTTTGAAGGCCGGGAGCCAACTGTAGGCCACTTCGTGGTCTTCGAGTTCCCAGGACTCCATTCCTGGGCATGATTTTGAAGGCCCAGAGCCAACTGTAGGCCACTTCGTGGTCTTCGAGTTCTCAGAACTCTATTCCTGGGCATGATTTTGAAGGCCCGGAGCCAACTGTAGGCTACTCCGTGTTTTTCGAGTTCCCAGAACTCAATTCCTGGGCCACATTTTGAATGCTGATGCAGGCTGAGGCTGAGGCTAAGACATGCTGATGCTGCGGCAGGCTGAGGCTGAGGCCGAGGCTGAAGGCAGACTGAGGCTGAGGCTGAAGCAGGGTGAGGCTGAGGCTGAGGCAGGCTGAGGCTGAGGCTGAGGCAGGCTGATGCTGAGGCAGGCTGAGGCTGAGGCTGAGGCTGATGCAGGCTGAGGCTGAGGCAGGCTGAGGCTGAGGCTGAGGCTGAGGCTGAGGCTGAGGCTGAGGCTGAAGCAGGCTGAGTCTGAGGCTGAGGCAGGCTGAGGCTGAGGCTGAGGCAGGCTGAGGCTGAGGCTGAAGCAGGCTGAGGCTGAGGCTGAGGCCGAGGCTGATGCAGGCTGAGGCTGAGGCAGGCTGAGGCTGAGGCAGGCTGAGGCTGAGGCTGGGGCAGGCTGAGGCTGAGGCAGGCTGAGGCTGAGGCTGAGGCTGAGGCTGAGGCTGAGGCTGAGGCTGAGGCTGAGGCAGGCTGAGGCAGGCTGATGCTGATGAGGCTGAGGCCGAGGCTGATGCAGGCTGAGGCTGAGGCAGGCTGAGGCTGAGGCCGAGGCTGAAGGCAGACTGAGGCTGAGGCTGGGGCAGGCTGAGGCTGAGGCTGAGGCTGAGGCAGGCTGAGGCTGAGGCTGAGGCAGGCTGAGGCTGAGGCTGAGGCTGAGGCTGAGGCTGAGGCAGACGCTGAGGCAGGCTGATGCTGATGCAGGCTGAGGCTGAGGCTGAGGCTGATGCAGACTTAGGCTGAGGCAGGCTGAGGCTGAGGCCGAGGCTGAAGGCAGACTGAAGCTGAGGCTGAAGCAGGCTGAGGCTGAGGCTGAGGCAGGCTGAGGCTGAGGCAGGCTGAGGCTGAGGCAGACGCTGAGGCAGGCTGATGCTGATGCAGGCCGAGGCTGAGGCCGAGGCTGAAGGCAGACTGAGCCTGAGGCTGAGGCAGGGTGAGTCTGAGGCTGAGGCAGGCTGAGGCTGAGGCTGAGGCAGGCTGAGGCTGATGCAGGCTGAGGCTGAGGCTATGACTGCGACTGCCGTTGCCACTGCGACTGTCATCGCGAATGCGACTGCGACTGCGAGAACGGCAGAATTCTACAACTGGATTCTCATCTGAATCTTAAGGGGAACGCTTCCAGATATGCTTCTACACATCGCTGTTAGGTTGCTTTGCTGGGATAATTCTTTTCGTGCTTGTTGGATGCTCTTGTGCCCTCCGGTGGGATACGCCCTCGAAGGTTCTTCGGTTTGGGCTGGCGGAGGGGAACGTGCTCGTGAGTGGTGTTCGTCTATCCTAGGCCCGACTGTGTACCCACGGGAGTGTCGGAGGGATCAGGACTGGCTATGGGTATGGGTAGGGGTCGTCGGACCCTGGGGGACCGGGGGAGGCTCCCGTTCGGACGGGGGCCCCCATGCGTCAACACACGCCCATAGCCCTCCCCGTTCCCCCCGTATAGGTCCGGGTGCGTGTTGTCTGTTCGTCGGCTTCTCAGTCCGAGGGGCTGCTGGACGGGAGGCCTCGGCAGCCACTGCCCAGGCTGAGGCGCCCTGAGCGTCCTCGTCGGCCAGCTCCTTAGCGCAGGGATCGGTGACAGAAATGAGCTCGGGGGCCCTCCGCTGGCGTCTTCTTCTCTGCTTGACCTCAGGTAAGGTCGAGATCCCGCAAAGTGTGTGTGTGCGCGCGCGCGTGTGTGTGCGCGCGTGTGTGTGCTTGTTTGTTTGTTTGTTTGTTTGTTTGTGTGTGTGTGTGTGTGTGTGTGTGTGTGTGTGTGTGTGTGTGTGTGCGTGCGTGTGGGCTCCGCGTGTGTGTATAAATATATATATATATATATATATATATATATATATAGATGCGTGTGCATGCGTGTGTATGAGAGAGTTCAATCGGTTTTTACACCCAACCGCCCAGAACAGATGCCTCCCAGCCGCAGGCAGCTCCCAATAGTTGCCGATCGGTGGGGCATGCGGGGAGCACCTGTCTGCGGCAGTTCGGTGCACCAGCGGATCGAACTCATGCCCCCTTTCAGGGTCACCCCTCTTTTGGTGGGTCCCGAGAAGGGTGGAATGATGAGGCTTTTTGATGCAGTTCTGACGTCGCTCAGCAGGCTCGCAGGGTATGCCAGACCGGTCTCAGCACGCCGACCGCGGGGCGCCCGGCGCGGGGTGCTGACACCGCCCTGGAGGCATGTTGAGGAGAGTCGGGCTTACTTCTGGGGGCATGTGCCGTGTCTGGTGTACGCAATTGCAGAAACGAGAGCGGGGGAGGGACCTCCTCCTCGTGCTCCTCCTGGCATCCCCCTCCCTCCTCGCAGCTCCTCCTCCCTGATCCTGCCCATCTCCACCTGCACCGTCTTTCCCTCCCACTTCCTCCTCGTCCTGGAACCCATAAGAGACGCCTTAGGATATGTTGCTGGCCCATTCACAGGTTTCGGGGCCCTCTGGGTCCGCCGTAACCAAAGCTGCTGGAAGAGCGCAACACTGGCCCGAAGATGACCCACAAGGAAGCGGAGAGGCTTTCCCAGAGGGGCGAATGCTTCGCCGAGGCGCCCGTTTAGCTGAGAAGGCGAAGGGCCCCCCCATCAGGACCAGTACCAGTGGCAGCAATAGTAGGAGTATTAGTAATCGTACTTGTCATAGTAGCAGTAGTCGTAGTAGTAGTAGTCGTCGTTGTTGTCGTCGTCGTCGTCGTAGCCGTAGCCGTAGCCTTTTTGGCTCAAGTCATTACCAGGGAGCTGTATCTCACCCAATCTCGCACACCAGTTTTGTTGTTTCACCGCCACTCATTTTGTGTTGGCACACTTCGACACCTGTCACCTGTCACCACGGATGCTTGCGGCTTCCTCGGCAGCTCCCGTCTCCCCAGGCTTTGGCGGTGGAGCGGCCGCCGCCGCAGCTGCTGCTCCTGCCGCACTTGGACACCGACGCGTGAAGGCGAGGACGTCCACGGGAGAGGAAGATGACAAGATCGAGGATATCATGAGCGACGGAGATACCGACCCAGGGGACGTCTCCGCCGTCATCGCACAGCCAGCTCCGGTACCTGAAGGATTGGAGAACGGTATGGAGACACGTTTTTTCAGAGCACTGACTAATGATTTCCGTAGTACCTTGGCCCAGAGTGCCAACAAAGTCAAGAATACTGACAAGACCGTGGCCGCCATGAAAACCGATTTAGTGAACCTGACCGCCCGAGTCACCGTCATTGAGAACGGTGGAGGAGGAGGTGGAACAGGTAGTGCTGGCCATGGACAAGCTGCTGGCAGTGTTGCAGGATCGACATCTGATGTTGCTGCCGCCCCTCCCACCATTAGACCTCCAGTCAATAAGCGGCAGATTCTGTGTGTTGGAGGATACCAGTACACCGAGGGGCTGGAACTTACCAACGACCTCAAGCAAATCCTCGCCGACTGCCATATCACGGGGGTGAAGAAAGTATTCCCTGTGGGCAGCTATGCAGACCGTGTCAAGATTGAATTCGAGACGAGCCAGAAGATGTGGGATTGCTTGGCCGCTATGAAGTGCAAGAAGTTTGCTTCCACGCTTGCGCGCGAGAACAGACCGCGGGATGCAAGGGGCCCTACCAAGAGGCAGTTGTGGCACACGATCGACAAATATCCAGAGGAGCTGACCTGCCATAACCGAGCCACACACGCCAAAGACCTTCTCAAAGCAGCTATTAGCAAAAAATGGCCAACCCTCTCTGAGCCCGAGCTGATGCAGATGATAGGCGCGTCCAGGGACATGGGCTCAGTGGTGTTGCTCCGCAAATTTCTGCCCGCAGACGTCTTTCCGAGGAACCCGTTGAAGATCCTGATGCGTGATTTCCCCACCTGCAACCTGATGGTGATGCCTGAGGCTCAGGAATGGTTGAGGTTGCAGGGAGTGGAGATGGATATTTCCCAGCACATGGACGAGATCAATGATCCACCCCGTCGAGGTGGCTCTTGACTATCTTCAGATGCGAGTAGGCGCCTTCCATCTAGCGACGACACTATTATCATCAGCTGGAACTGCAGGGGAGTTCCGATGCGTAGTGCCGCGAGGGGGCTAGAACTCATGGAGGCCGACTTCCACTGGGATATTGCATGTCTTCAAGAATTCATTGATGTGCTGAAAGTCTGCGAGGAGATAGCTGGCCATCGCTTGATCCTAGGGCCCCCTGTGCGCGGGCGGAAAAGGAGACCAGCGATCATAGTGCACAAGACGCTGAAGGCTTGCATCATCTTCGACCCCATCAGCCTGGGGAACAGCATCGCCGTGGGCATCGCCACCCCTCACGGCGGAAACCTCTGGATAGTTTGCTCGCACTTCGACGCTGACACCAATCATCATAGTCAATGCTGCACAGACATTGCCGACTGCGAACTGTTGCTTGGGAGATGCCCACCACATTTCACGCCCGTGTTGTGCGTTGACGCCAATGCATCATTCGAGCGTGACTTTCGACCATCCTCGACTGTCGGCCCTTGCACTGCTGGTATTAAGAGCTGGAAAACTGATGCTTTTTACGAGTTCATAGTCAGTAACAATTTGATCTTGAGTAAGACATGGAGTAAACCTTTGATGGGATCATGCACTTGCTTCTACGACGGCAAGTTCGAACCCAGGCAGATAGACTTCGTGGCCATCGGCAGAGGACCCTCTCGCGGCTCCTACGACTGCCAGGCTCGCTGCTGCTCCGCTTTGAAGAGTGATCACTGCCCTCTAGTTTTCAGGTTCTTTGCCGCGAGGAAACCTGTGCCGCAGTTTTTGCCGAGTATTGAGTGCAGTTTTAAGACCAAGCCAGTTGGCTGGAGATTGCTCGACCACACCTTCGCTAGGAAGGTGGGGGATCAACTCGGAATCGAAGATCGCCTTGGGGCCGAATGTAGTCTAGATGACGTGCGTTTTCGTTTGTATGGCGATGGCCACTTTAAACAGTGCAGCAAACATCGAAGGACTTGCGGCCGGGGTTTTTCGGTCTTCAACGACCCCCCAGGCATTCCCGAGAATTCGAGGACCCCAGGGGCCCAAGTCGATCCGCTTTTCCAAAGCTGTGGACCTGTCTTTCTGGATCCCCTTCAGGAAGGTTTCCTAGGAGCTCTCAGGCAGACCAACAACACCGCGGAGCTGACCGCGGCTATCGAGATGGGACTCTGGCTATTGGGGCAGCACCTACCGACGGGCGCGGCTTCGATTCCGAGAGGTTCGGTCCTGGAAGCCGTCTTCGATTCGACCTGCGTCTTGGGAATGCTGCGTTGCAAGTTCCGACCCAAACATAATGTCGTGTTAGCCTTACTACTTCAGCACGTCTGGGAGGCCGTTCAGAAGGAATACGTGGTCTTCTTTTCCTGGATTAAAGGGCATTCTGGGCGCAGGGGAAATGAAATCGCCGATCGTTTAGCGGAAGCTGGAGGTCAACCTATCCCTGGAGAATTGGAACAATATAAATGGCCCCGCGCCCGGCCTTGCCCCACCCCATCCCTGAATGCAGAGAAGTTTTGCTCCATCCTCAACAACTCGGATATCCCTCTATCGGAACAACAGCATCTTTATCTTCAGTGTGCGTCCCAGCAGGAGTCATTACTTTTTCACAGGCCGTGGAGAGACTTGCTTGATCGGCCGCGCAAGACTCAGCTGATTACACTTGATAGTGACGCAAAGGAAGTTCCACCGTCTGCCTCGGAGATCACCCGTGTCGATCGTCAAGGTTTTCCTGTTCCTTCCCTGGGCTCGTTTACCGCCCTGGCGGGCAAGATCGCCTCGACTTGCGGCGGGAAAATCCCCGCGGGACCCCCGAACGCCCCAAGGATCATCCTCTGAGTTGCAGGATCCAGCGGTATTTGCAAGCGCGGAACACCGAGCAGGACCCGACGCTCAGACAGGCCATGAGCTTGCAGTTGGTACCGCTGATGCGCCAGTTCGCGTTTTTTACACAGGATATTCGCGCAGCCTATTTCGTGCAGCATCGTAAAGTCGACCGTTTCCGTGGACAGAATAAGGTGAAGGCACTGAAGGTGGGAGGAGGAAACGAGAACATCACGACGGATGAGGACGAGATGAGGGGAGAGGTGGCCCGGTTTTATGAGACGCTGTTAAAGGATCCGACGGATGCCGGCCTTCCCAGATGGATTTGGACACGCTGGGGTCCCGAGGCTTTGGAGGAGTTGCCCAAGCGCCTGGGCGCCCAGTTGATTAAGGCGCGTTTGTCTCGCCTCAAGCCAGGAAAGACCTGCTCCAGAGATGATTGCATCGTCATGGAAATGTTGAAAGAACTTAGCACCGAAACCCTGGACCTACTAGCTGAATTATATGTACTCCGTTTACGTAATCATCCCAGTGAACAACTCGACCCGATATTCAATAGACACCAGGTCACGCTGCTAGCCAAATTCTATGGAGCTTGCAGGGTCAAGGATTTCCGCCCGATCGCTCTGCTGTCTTGCGTGCTTAAGCTGTATCCCATGTGCCTGAGCGAGCTGATAGAACTTGATCAGATGCCCTTGTCGAAGCTCCAGTTTGCGTTCCGCAAGAGCTACCAGGTGCACGAGGTCGTAGCCACAACCCGCCTGTTGATTGAGAGAGCAGTGGAATTCCGTGAACCTCTGTTCCTGGGGGTGGGCGGCTTACACAAAGCTTACGATCATGTACGTCATCACCATATCATTCGCAATCATCGGAAACGTAAGATCCCCAGAATCATCACTGCGGCGTGGGTACGAGAAATACGCAGTGGACGATCCGAATTTCTCTTGCCAGGGGTGGCACCCGCACGGCAGGTATCTCGCACGCGATCCTTGCTCCAGGGGGACCCTGAGGCACCCAGACTTTTCAATCTCTCCCTGGACGGCCCGATCTCCGAGTTTGAAATTTTGCATGAAAAAAACGGATGGGGATGCCCGCTGGAACCCGAGGACCTGGCTATGCTGAATGCCCAGAAGAAACGCAAAAAGGACCCACGGATCACCCGATTACCCCTCGTGGTATTCGCCGACAATGTTTACTTGCTTGCCAGCTCCGCTCAGATGCTGAGAGCAATGTGGACGGAGTGGCACCGTATCTTACGCCAGCGCTTTGCTTGCACGGTCTTGCTCAGCGACTGTTTCTGGCTCACGACCGCCATGGATTCGGCGGCGACGCTGCGCTTGGAAGAAGGCCTCGTCCCCCGTCTCGGTCGCTCTGAGGGATTTCGTCAGCTGGGGGCGTGGATCACCCTGGATAACTGCGCTTCCTCGGCGGTCAGCAGAGGTATCGCGAGAGCCTGGACAGCCTTCAGCACACATCGTGGAATCCTACGCAGCCCCATCTCGAAGCGTCTCGGCCTCTTGGATACGATCGCACGGCTGGCCGCCTTTTTCTGTTTTGGAAGTTTGAATTTCACAAGAGCTCATCTTAGCCGTATCCGTGCAGTGCAGTATCGCATGATTCGCCAAATGTTAGGCATTCGCAGGCCAGATGGGGAATTCATGGGAGATTGTATGAGACGGGTTTACCGCAAAATTCACGAGTTGATGATGAACGCCAAAACCATGCCCTGGGGCCAGTGCGTTTTGACCCTCGGACACCGCTGGGCGGGCCATGTTGCCCGTATGAAAGTATACGAACCCGACCGCGTCGTGTATAAGGCCCTGGGGTATTAAAATTACAGATATCTCAAGCACCTCGAGGACTCCATAGGCTCCCAAGGGCATCATTATTCTTTCCACGTCTGGCGATGGGAGAAGCAATTCGTTGACTACTACGGGCTGCAGTGGCGCGAGATCGCCCTGGGCCCCGAACGCTGGAAGGGCTCCGAGTTTGACTGGAGTAACTGGCGACGCGAGGTTCAACGCGGACAGGGAACGTCTAAACTGCCCAGAACCCACACGTCCGACTGTTCCTGGATCTATCTGAGTTTCAAACGTTATGCTTTCCTGGCCTCGGATCTGAGTTCCTTCTAGGGCTGAATCTTGGATCGACTTGGGGGGCACCCTCTTTAAACAACACCGCTCATTCTCACTTCCCCTGTCGAGGCTCAGTGCCTCCAGGCACCAACGTCGAGATTTAAGTTGCCCGAGCGGCTAGGGCCCTGGAGCCACCATCTTGAAGGCCGTGTCAAGTCAAGTCAAGTCGTAGTCGTAGCCGTAGTCGTAGGCGTAGGCGTAGGCGAAGGCGTAGTCGTAGTAGTCGTAGTAGTATTAGTATTAGTATTAGTAGTAGTAGTAGTAGTAGTAGTAGTAGTAGTAGTAGTGGTAGTAGTAGTAGTAGTAGTAGTAGTAGTAGTAGTAGTAGTAGTCGTA